CATGAGCCCTATGAAGGCTTCGGGTCACTTCCTATGCCACCCAATTCCGGTAATCCGTTTTTGCTAGTTGTGCTCCAAATCTGGGCTTGAATATTTTCTATTTAAGCGCGATGGCAGAGGGTGGCTCAGTAGCCCCTAGAGCAGGGCTTGAAAAAGCCGCTCGCCTGCTCGCCAAATGCGAGGAGAAATTCTCGAGCGGTGAGGGGCGAGCACAGATGATGGAGCGGCTGTGCTTAAAGCCTCATTGTGAAGCCGAGTTCCGGTTTCCGAGTTCCGGTTTCTTCGGCACCGCCGCTGAGAGGACAGATGCAGGAGAGGTCCTCTCTCCTCCGCTGAGAGGAGACACCCTCTCCACCGCCGCGGGGGACTCGAGGAGTAAGTACTGTGTACGTGTCATATCACTATAATGGAGTACAGGGGAGCTGGGATATACATTACTGTATACAGTTTTATATTTTGGACTCTTTATTCTAAAGAAAAATGTAATTTCATAAGCTTTAAGGGGACGTGGTTGGGGGGCAGGGCTGGGATGGGGTTGTGGGCGGGCCGGGGGGTGGGGTTGGAGGCAGACCTGGGCAAGGTTGGGTAGGGCAAATGGTGAAGAGTAAGGTTTGTGCCTGGTTAGTAGGTCTAGACTCGAAATTTTAAGCCCTGCCCTAGAGGATGTCTTTTGATGATGAAACGCGTCGGGAAGAGCCTCCCTCTGATGTCATCACGCTGGATGTGGTTCACGTGAATGCTTTTAATTTGTAAGTAGGATCCTCTTTGCTCCTGCCTTCAGCCTCACATCTTCCTGAACTCTCCCGCAGCTGAGCAGGCTCAGTCACTTTTAAGGGTTGTCCTGGCCCCTTGCCAAGCCTCCTGTTGGGGATTGGCAAGGCTCCATTAAAAGTGCAGATCAGCCCCTCCTTAGAGCCACCCACTGTTTCTGGACCTTTCTCTAAAGTTCTAGAGCAGGGGGAAATTCCAGAGGGCTGGTCTTCAGAGCCTCTCAGCTCTGACCAGAGTTTGACCCCCTGCTGGCTATCACACCCAAGCTTCTACTCATCCCTCCTAGCTAACAACTGAGGTCTAGCTCCCCCTAGCTGACTAGGAGGGTGTTACACGCGCATTCATGAAACGCGCATAAAACGCTTACAGAGACATAGATTGTAATGGCACCCCAAACGCAGCAAGCAGATGCACGTTTTTGCATGCAATTAATGCATCAAAGTGAGCAGTTAAAAAAATGCATGAAGCCAAAAAGGTACATGAGCTACTTTGACGTGTGTTTGCATAGGGCAGCCATTTGAAATGAATGAACTGTCCTATGCGTGTAGCATAAAAATCGCACACAAGAAAGCACACAAAAAACATGCGTTCATGAGACACTAGGTGCAAACCGAGCCTGAGGGCCGTTCATACCAGATGCGCTGGGGCTATGCTGGCCACTATTAGGGCTGGTTCACGCCATAAATCGCACAGAAATGTACTGCGCTTCCCTGTGCAATTCACATGCAATCCGGGCGCAGCGCGATGTCAGACAAAATTGTGACAAACCACACCAAAAGTAGTGCATGCACTACTTTAAAAAACACACAGCAACAGGTTTGCATGGTACTACTCTACCATATGACTGCGTTTGCAATCTTCCTTTGGGGTGTCACCCACTGCAGATCGCATCCACATTGACACCTACATTGGTGTCCAGGCAGAGGATGAAGCAGATGGCAGGCAAGAGTAGTAGTGAGTGTCCTGGCAGAGGTCAAGGCAGGCAGCAGGCAAGAATAGTCAGTGTCCAAGCAGAGGTCAAAGCAGGCAGCAGGCAATAGTAGTCAGTGTCCAGGCAGAGGTCAAGGCAGGCAGAAGGCAAGAGTAGTCAGTGTCCAGGCAGAGGTCAAGGCAGGCAGCAGGCAAGAGTAGTCAGTGTCCAGGCAGAGGTCAATGCAAGCAACAGGCAAGAGTAGTCAGTGTCCAGGCAGAGGTCAATGCAGGCAACAGGCAATAGTAGGCAGTGTCCAGGCAGAGGTCAAGGCAGGCAGCAGGCAAGAGTAGGCAGTGTCCAGGCAGGCAGAGGGTCAATACAGGCATCAGACAAGAGTAGTCAGTGTCCAGGCAGAGGTCAATGCAGGCAACAGGCAATAGTAGGCAGTGTCCAGGCAGAGGTCAAAGCAGGCAGCAGGCAAGAGTAGCCAGCGTCTAGACAAAAGTTGAAGGAGGTGGCAGGCAGGCATGGTCAGGAACACGTAGAGTCAGCTGCAGGCAGCAGGCAAGAGTAGTCAGTGTCCAGGCAGAGGTCAAAGCAGGCAGCAGGCAAGAGTAGCCCGCATCTAGACAGAAGTTGAAGCAGGTGGCAGGCAGGCATAGTCAGGACACATAGAGTCAGCTGCAGGCAGCAGGCAAGAGTAGTCAGTGTCCAGGCAGAGGTCAAAGCAGGCAGCAGGCAAGAGTAGCCCGCATCTAGACAGAAGTTGAAGCAGGTGGCAGGCAGGCATAGTCAGGAACACGTAGAGTCAGCTGCAGTGTCAGGCAAATCTGGTCATCAAGCACAAAGACAAGTCGGCAAGAAGTCACAGCATTGACCGCCATAGAGAAGGAGTTTAAGTAACCTCCTTGGCAGTGGTATATTTAGGTTTTGTGCTGCCCTAGGCAACAAAAAAAGTTGACGCTCCCCCCGGAAGAGGGAGCCTGACCTTGAGAAACAACACCCCTGCCCACCCCACCTCGAGACAGTCTTTCATTAGCACACATACCCCCACCCTGGGCGAGAGAGAGAAACACACTCATCTTCACAGCTTCTGGGAACGAGAGTCGGGCTTTAAATACACCATCAAGCCCGTGACCTCTCTCGGATCCCACCAGGTCCCCATGCCGCAAGTGTCCCTTCTTCCAGGAGGCGGTGCTGCCCCCCTGAACAAATGCCGCCCTAGGCAAATGCCTTGTTTTCCTTGTGGTAAATACCCCCCTGCTCCTTGGTCCATGTGCAAGCCCAAACGCAAGGGACACAAGCTAAGGTTCATAAGTCCCCAACTCACCAGGCGTGCGCTTGACGTGCTACAAGGGGACAAGGCAGGCCAAGTCCTTGGAGGTACTGTAACACTTGGAGTTCAGCTTTAACTTTTTAACTTTACACAGCTCATAAAAAACTTTTCAAAATGGACACCAACTACTCATATCTGTTGGCTGCTTCAACACTGGCTATTTTTGCTTGCCGCCTGCCTTGAACTCTACCTGGACTCTGACTATCCCTCCTTCCTACCTGCTTCAACCTCTGCCCGGACACTGACTACTCTTAGCTGTTGTCTTTCTCGAACTTTGCCTGCGCACTGACTATTCATGCCTGCTGCCTGCCTTGACCTTTGCCTGGACACTGCGTATAACTGCCTGCTGCCTGCCTCAACCTCTACCTGGACACTGACTACTGTACGCTGTTGTCTGCCTCAACACTGGCTATTGTTTCCTGCCACCAGCTTCCACCTTTGAGTGGACACTGACTACTCTTGGTCGTTGTCTTCATCAGCCTTTGCCTGCACACTGACTATTCTTGCCTGCTACCTGCCTTGACCTCTGCATGGACACTGAGCACACCTGCCTGCCTCAACCTCGGCCTGGACACTCATCTTCACAGCTTCTGGGAATGAGAGTTGGGCTCTACCTACACCATCAAGCCCGTGACCTCTCTCGGATCCCACCTGGTCCCCATGCCGCAAGTGTCCCTTCTTCCAGGAGGGTGGTGCTGCCCCCTTGAAAAATGCCGCCCTAGGCAAATGCCTTGTGGTAAATACCCCCCTGCTCCTTGGTCCATGTGCAAGCCCAAACGCAAGCTAAGGTTCATAAGTCCCCAACTCACGAGGCGTGCGCTTGACGAGCTACAGGGGGACAAGGCAGGCCAAGTCCTTGGAGGAACTGTAACACTCGGAGTTCAGCTTTAACTTTTAAACTTTACACAGCTCATAAAAAACTTTTTTTTAAAGTTCAAGGGTGTTAAAAATAGATGGCCGACTCGAAAAAAAAATCCACCCATCTTGCTTTCCTCCCCCCAAGGCCCTTTAACAAACAGTCCAGCCTACATGCCGGAAAAATTAATTAGCAAGAGGGAACATGAAAGGCAGCAGAATCATTTATTAGTCAACATTAATGTGCTAAATGATTTTCCCGATTATAAAAAAGCAACATTAATTAAAACGGTGGCATCTCCGGACCTTCGGAAACCGCGCCGACGCTCTCCGTGTAATAATGGCTTTCCAAAAAAAAAAAAAAACAATTATTTCTTAATGTGATTCAAAAACATTTCTCTGCCTTTTACAGCCCTCGTCACTAACGCGAGATATTCGACTTTCTTTTATCGTTTAATGTTTCTTCGGGGCCGCGTGAAAATCCATTTGGTGCACTTCGAATTTCCAAAGCGCTTGACTTTCTTTTAACTTTCTATTATTTTCACGGTTTTTTATGCAAACGCTTACTTCATTTTAATAGCGGCGCAAAATACATAAGAAAAACAAACGCCGGAGAGGGCGAAAAATATTCCATCTAAGGGGGGATCCCACCTTCAAATGACTCATTTAAAGTGTTACTGAAACCACAACGGTACAATCAGTCTGTAGATGCAGTAAAGCATGCTTGTTACACTCACTGTGGAACCTAAGGGGTTAATCCTCTGCATTATGAAAAAGGCTGTTTGATCCTGTCTTCTCTGATCCTCCCCTTCTTCCAGTGTCCCCCTCTTCTCTCCTGATAAGACATGTTGTGTGGAGGCACTCTGCACATGCTCAGTTTGGTATGTATTGCTAGAGAGGGTTTTTTTTTGTTGGGAGAGTGCACGTGATCAGCACAGAGGTCAGGGGTTCTGCATCCTCCTAGAGCAGAATGAAAACTCCTCCTACAAGCTTTAACCATTGTTCTGCTGGACACTGATAGAAGTCACAAGATTGGGGTCCGGGGACTATATACTGCTGATGAGAAAAGGTATTTAGCAGTTTATAATTACTAAAATAATTGCATTTCCATGTTCTGTGTACTGTGGGAGAGTGGATATAGTGAATGCGGGATCCGGGGAAGACCAGATATAGTGAATGCGGGGTCCGGGGAGAGCGGATATAGTGAATGCAGGGTCTGGGGGGACCAGATATAGTGAATGCGGGGTCCGGGGAGAGCAGATATATAGTGAATGCGGGGTCCGGGGAGAGCGGATACAGTGAATGCGGGGTGCGGGGAGAGCAGATATAGTGAATGCGGGATCTGGGGAGAGAGCGGATATAGTGAATGCGGGGTCTGGGGAGAGTGGATATAGTGAATGCGGGGTATAGTGGGGGGACCGGATATAGTGAATGCAGGGTCCAGACAAAGCGGATATAGTGAATGTGGGGGTCCGGGGAGAGCGGATATAGTGAATGCTGGGTCCGGGGAGACCGGATGTAGTGAATGCAGGGTCCGGGGAGACCGGATGTAGTGAATGCGGGGGGGAGACCGGGGAGACCGGGGAGACCGGATATAGTGAATGCAGGGTCCGGGGAGAGCGGATATAGTGAATGCCGGGTCCGGGGAGCGGAGCCGGGTCCGGGGAGAGCGGATATAGTGAATGCGGGGTCCCGGGTCCGGGGAGAGCGGATATAGTGAATGCGGGGTCCGGGGAGAGCGGATATAGTGAATGCAGGGTCCGGGGAGACCAGATAGTGACACTGTAATACTTGTGGGGGGTGATGAAGATTTTGTTTATTTGTTTTTTTTTTACGCTGATTGCTTTTACACCCCATAAAGGCTGTAAAAGCAATCATTTCTCCTCTTTGGCTGCATTCTTGCAGCCATTGAGAACTACTGTGATTGGTTGTGATTGGTCACAGCTTGTCACATGGTACACGGCTGTTGTGAATAGCCCTGTACCATGTGACCTCTGTGGTCATTCACAGATTTCACACGTAGTAAGCAATGATGTCAGAAGTGACATCATTGCTTACTACTCTTCATTTGATCACTGATTGGCCAATCAGTGATCCCATGATTGGGACCTCACATAGAGGTCCCATACAGCAATCGGTGTTTTGACACAGCGGGCACTAATCGCGGTGCCGCACGCTCCCAGGGAGCACAAACAGGAAATATTTCCAGGGACGTTTAGAAACAACCACCCGCAACTACAGCGCTCCTGATCAGTGATCACATGATTGGGTTCTCATACATAGGTCCCGTACAGCGGGCATCGTATCGCGGTGCCGCTCACTCCCAGGGAGCACGCACAGTCCAAAATGTCTGGCGCCATTTATGAACGGCAGCCCGCCCCTGCATTGCCCCCGTCCAGCCGTTTATATACATGTGCCGGACGGGAAGTGGTTAAAGAGGAACAATATTGTTTGCTGGGACACAGTGCAGATTCCTATTCCAGGCTCAGAAAAAATGTATATGAGCGCTCCAAACGCTGGATTTGGGCCCCAACATACCGGCCAGTAGAGAAAGGATTTAATATAGACTGCTTAACTATTATTTTAGCATTGCTCTTAGACAGGATCCTCCTAAGTATAGATTTTAGGGGGTCATTCTCTGGTCCCTCTCCCAGGGGCGGACTGACAACTCATGGGGCCCCCGGGCAATAGGGTATCATGGGGCCCCTGTGTCCTTGCCCAAACTCAAAAAAGCCTATGAAAAAGGTACCAGGGGAATCTCATGGGGCCCCCTACTGACCCCGGGCCCTCGGGCAGTGCCCGAGTTTCCAAATGGTCAGTCCGCCCCTGCTCCTCCTTATAACCAACTGTATACTCTATCGTGCCAAAGTGTTACATATTAGTTTGAGGGGTTATTGCTGTGACAGGAGTGACTTTGCGTGGGGGGGCTCATGGAACACAGCCCCCTTTGGAGAGGTGTGGAGACCCCTGTCTCAGCTCCCCATATCCCTATTATGTGTAAGTCACCCTGTGCCTGTTAGGGGTACAGGGTGAAAAGGTCCTGATATTGTGTAGACATGTATAGGTGGGGTGTGGGGGGTTGTTCATTGTTTACTGCCAGGTGGTCCCATTGTTCTATTGTGTCTGCTTGCCAGCAAACTATTATGGGATGTGTGTGTTTATGTGTATTGGCTTGGTGGGGGGGTCTGCTGTGTGTCTCTTATTACTGGATGTATTGCCCCGCCCTGTGTATATATCTTGTGTCTGTGTTAAAATATAGCAGTCCATTTCCTGTTTTAATACAAGTCTGGTGCTGTCTCGTCTTGTATGGTGTCAAGGTCCTACCTTTTCCCAGAGGTTATGTTTCTCCATGTGCTGGCATCCATGTTGGATTTCTGCAGAGCATGGTGGGAATCTTTTTACGCCTTCTGGTCTCTGAGGTCCATCCCCCAGAGGGGTGTGGCTGATTACATACAAACCTGTGGTCCGCACATGCCCTTTGCACTTGTGTCTTGGTGTTGCTATAACTCTGTTCTGGCTCTTGTGGCTCTCCTGGAATCTGACTCGGCTTGTGACCATTCTTTGTGTTCTCCTTTGATCTGACCCTCTGTTGCTGAACTCAGCTCGTGACCCCGTGATTCTCGTCTGCTGTCCTGTGCTGTTTTGTCCCGTTGTTGTCGGCCTGGCCTGCCTGACTACTCTATTGTCTTTTCCACCAGCTACACGCACTGGCTGGTGACAACCACCACCCACAGACCTAAGTCCCCCAGGGCGCGGAGTCTAAGTCCCAGGCTGCCCTTCACCAGGGCCCCTGATGGTGGGGATGGACTTGACGCAGCCAGGAACCAGGTCGCAGCCCCCGAGACACCTCAGTTGTGGTAATGGCCGCCGCCAATGGTGTGTAGCTGGTGGAAAAGACAATAGAGTAGTCAGGCAGGCCGGACCGACAACGACGGGACAAAAAGGCACAGGACAGCAGACGAGAATTACGGGTCACGAGCTGAGTTCAGCAACGGAGGGTCAGATCAAAGGAGAACACAAAGAATGGTCAGGTCACAAGCCGAGTCAGATTCCAGGAGAGTCACGAGAGTCAGAACAGAGTTATAGCAACACAAAGACACAAGTGCAAAGGGCATGTGCGGACCACAGGTTTATATGTAATCAGCCACAACCCCTCTGGGGGATGGACCTCAGAGACCTGAAGGCACAAAAAGATTCCCACCATGCTCTGCAGAAATCCAACATGGATGCCAGCACATGGAGAAACATAACCTCTGGGAAAAGGTAGGACCTTGACATATGGTCAGCGGTGGTGTCCGTGGATCTGTGGTCAGACGGGGAAGCGGGAGTCTACCGGAAATACCCCAGTGCAGTCGGGGTCCGGTTCCGTTACAATTGCTATTTCCCTTTCTTTGGTTATTGTAGTATTATATATATATAATATCGCTTCAAATCTAGAACGGTTCAGTAATACTGACAAATGACGGCGGACATTTCCTTCCCTCACACGCAATCCCATCCTTACACCACGTGCGTGAATCGCAGGTACAGCCGAGCTGCTGGCGTTGTGCACTGCAACAAATGATCATCTGCCGTTGGTAAGACTGACAAGATATGCAGAAGAGAATAGACTGAATAGACAGGAAAATAGCTAAAAACACAGAAAAAATGCATAATAACAAGGGAATAGTTAACCTGCCAAAGAATTTGGTTTTCTGTCCATCCATTCCTGAGATTTACACAGCCCTGCCAAACAGCACAGTCCCTGCTTGGCAGGCGCGAGGAGGCCTGAATTTTTCTGTGATGCCTTTTCACTTTCACTTACAGGTCTCTATTCCCCACCTTCTTCCCCTGTGACTGAAAGAATGATGGATTCACACTCTGACAGATCCCAGGCTGGGATTCCCCAAGTCAATAGGGGGGAGGTAAAACGCTGTGACAGCAGGCGGCAGAACTGAGCGATTCCATACAGTGACAGATCGGACACAACAAGGGGCGGACTGACAACTCATGGGCAGGGGCGGACTGACAACCCCGAGCAATAGGGATCATGGGGCCCCTGTGTCCTTGCCTCAAAACTGCTTATGACAAAGGTAACCACAGGGGCATTCCCCCCTACTGACACCAGGCCCTCGGGCAGGCCCCCGAGTTTCCAAATGGTCGAGTCCGCCCATGCTCATGGGGCCCCCGGGCAATAGGGATCATGGGGCCCCTGTGTCCTTGCCTCACTCACTCAAAAAAGCTTATGAAATAGGTACCAGGGGCATCTCATGGGGCCCCCTACTGACACCAGGCCCAGCGGGCAGTGCCCGAGTTTCCCCAATGGTTAGTCAATCCACTGCTCATGGGGCCCCCCGGGCAATAGGGGATCATGGGGCCCTGTGTCCTTGCGGTGCCCAAACTCAAAAAAGCTTATGAAAAAGGTACCAGGGGCATCTCATGGGGCCCCCCTACTGACACCAGGGCCCTCGGGCAGTGCCCGAGTGTCCAAATGGTCAGTCCGCCCCTTCTCATGGGGCCCGCGGGCAATAGGGGATCATGGGGCCCCTGTGTCCTCCCAAACTCAAAAAAGCTCCAAATCACACCCCCTAATAAAAAAGCCCCTATCATGCAAGGGCAAATAGGACGATCCATGGGACACTCTCAAAAAAGTCAGCCGATGCAGGTTAAAGACATGGCTCAATTGGGCCCCTATGACCCCAGGCCCGAGTTCCCCAATGGTCAGTCCGCCCCTGGACACAACACACCACCACCAACACTGACACAGATCAGCAGGCACCAGAAGAGCACGGTCGTTGCTTAGACTATTTTTTTTGTTGCCCTAGGGCAAGACCAGCTACTTGCCCCCCCCCCCCAAAAAAAATAATAAAAATGTTTTAATAGTAGTAGAAAATATTAAATCAACAAAACATGAAACTGCAAAATTTCTTTTAATTTGCAAAAATAAGTACCATATGAAGCCACCAGCACCATTATTACAGACAAAGTCGGTGTCACGGATGGACTGTATCTGTGGCTGGCGGTGCCCGAGTGACAGTCGCAGTGAGTGGAGGATGATGGATCCACACTCTGACAGGCTGGGATTCCCCAGATCCGCGGCTCAGTCAAGTAATTCCACACTCTGACCATTCCCCAAGGGGGGGAGGTAAAACGCTGTGACAGCAGGCGGCTGAACTGAGCGATTCCACACAGTGACAGATCGGACACAACACACCACCACCAACACGGACAACAGATCAGCAGGCACTAGAAGAGCAGGTGGGGGATCCTGATGATGTCATCGCCTCACCGCCACTGTGATGGATTGGCCGGGCCGGGTCACACTCACAGAGACACGGTGTCAGGCCCGCCAGGGATCTCTAGTGGTCCACAGCACGGGATTCCCCAATGGACGCGGAAGTGGTCTAAGTCCCAGTCAACCTTTTCACAGAGCCCTGATGGTGGGGAAGAGCAACTTGGTGCATAGACTGGAACCAGGTCGCGACCCCTGGGCGCACCCAGCTATGGGTAGAGGAGTCCCACTGAGGGGTATAATGCGCGGAATGAGCCTGCTGTGAAGGGGACTGACGGGTCCAGGTCCAAGTGGATGGATGACGGGCTCCAGGTCATGAAAGTGGGTCGGATGGGACCTTTAGGATTTGCAAAAATGGTCGGTACCATGTCGGGTCGGTAACAGTGGGGACCAAGGTGCGGGTACCAAGCAGTAGGCAAAAGAGTCGGTCAGGTCACACGCCGGGTTCTGTAACAGGGGTCCAAATAGCAGTAACTACAGGCAGTGAGAAGGTCAGGGACGGAGCCGGGGGTCATGATAGGGGGTCA